ATGAAACCAAGTGATAAGAACAATTATAGGTCGTGTTTTGATTTTTCAGATGACTTAAACAATCACAGCCCTGACTACATTTTCACAACAAATTGGACAGTGGGAATAGTCTTCGCAGTTATTGGTACCATAATAAACGTTTGGTTTCTCGCAGCCATGTTAAAATCTCCAGAAATTCGCTCTGGGATGCGCAAGATCGTTCTCTGTGTTATGCTGGCGGTTAACATATCAGTGTCCGCGATAACTTTGCCGGTAATCCTTATTCAAGATATACTGCGTTATAATCGCATCGGGGTTTTAGATGTCTGCATTGTTCCCATTGTCGTCGTCCGAATAGAAGACTTCATTGGAAACTGGTACATGTTTATCCTTGCATGTGTTTATACAGCTCAGGTGGTGAACTTTGTACCTAGATTAGCCCCATTGTGGACGAAAATCTTCACTGTCGTTTCCATCATATCTCCGATTGTAGTCGGTTTTTTCTTGGAGCGACTAACCTCAAACAGAGTCTATGCACTTTTAGAAACGATTGTTCCCCACTCTCTGACAAGCTTACTTTTGGTGGTGACTGCAGTATTAAAGTACAGACGATATCCTTATGTGCGTCTTTTTGACGAGTTCACAGACGACAGATGCCATATTGATCCTTTGTACCCTTTCGTCGCTCTCCTCGTCGGTGCAGTGGTGTCTGGTTTGAGCCAGGCTATTTTCATGATAAGTCTGCCGTTTTTGCCGAGAAATGGGTCAAGCATCTGGTAAGGAAAATATGAGTATGTTTAGTCTGTTTCAAAAAGTGTGCCTTCAAACTGTAACAAATATCTCTAAAAATCATTTACTGATCAAAGCGAATTTGTGCATGTGGTCCTAGATTTCCCATGTCCTTATAAATGTATATGTTAAAATTGCACAGGTGCTTCTATGTTCTGAAAACGGAGAAATACTTTGATCTTTGTTTACCCCGAAATATACAATATACAGTAACTTTAAACCACAAACTTAGAAATTATTTCATATTCTCAGCGATGCGTGGTGATTATTTTTTTTTTTCTAAATGGAAATGGTGATTAACACGTTACAGACCAAATTTCAACACTTTACACTGACCTGTCTTAAAGTTGCGCCAGAATTGAAACGGACTACAATGTATTTATTTTTATTTTAAGCCCAAACTAGGTCCCTGAAAAGTCGAAATTTTCACCTCGAGCATTAGACTGTGTGTGATTCCCTGCAAGGATCCTAGATTACGAAACAAAAAGTATCTTCTGATATGCTTTGTTTCTATTGCTAGAATGAGAGGTCTTGCATCTATATGTCAGAGAGAGAGAGAGAGAGAGAGAGAGAGAGAGAGAGAGAGAGAGAGAGAGAGAGAGAGAGAAAGAGAGAGAAAGGAACAAACTATTATTTATAAAGGTTACAAACCATAGAGATTTTGGGGGGGGGGTGGTGGCTGGAAGGAAATCATAGCAATGTTAAAGCCTTCATCAACTCATCTTTGTCCCCTTCAAGCTGTGTACAGGTGAAGCATAAATAGTGGGGAGATCGCGTTTATTAGAGTTCACGTGTACTGTATTATTCCCTCAATCCATCGTTTGCATGGTCGATCTCTCCTTCGATGTCCACTTGGTCTATAGATCATCACACGTTTTGGTATACTGTCTTTTGCAGTGGCTCTCAATCTTCAAAATGACGCGACCCTTTAATACAGTTCCCCCATGTTGTGGCGACCCCCAAACAATTATTTTCCTTTGCAACATCAACGAATCTCTGTTTTCTCATGGTCTTAAGCGACCCCGGTGAATGGATCGTTCGACCCAAACAAAGGGTCGCCACCAGCTGGTTGAAAACCGCTTGTCTATTGGGATTAACGTTAATGTAGGAAACATTTTACTTGATTTTGTGCAGGTATTGCCTATAGAATCTGCAAGTTCTTAAACTTTTCCTAAGGTTGGCAAGAAGAAGCAGTGGTGATTGTCTCGTAGTTATGTTAATGGTATCAGCAGTCTCTTCTTCTTCAGCTTAACAACAATTTAGGCACTATGCTTGATAGCTGTATACTCTCTATGTATATATGTAATTTGATTACCACTTTTTTTTTCAATCAATTGTTATATTTGTTCTTACTGTCTCATAAAAGAAAAAATATTTTTAAATTTAATCTTCTTAAAGTTTTTAGCAAACATCGACTTCTAAATAGCCCACTGCTGGCCAACATTCCAACATGCCTTATAGATCTGTCAAAAATTTGTCCCTATGTATGACGCAATTTTTTTTATTTGAATCAACACCCTGGCTTCTGCCGGGGGCCCAGAGTATAGTCGGGGCATAAATATGGCCTAGCCATAAATATGGCCTAACGGCCGAAAGGGGTTTCTGAGACCTCTCCACAGATGATCCTCATCCGCATAGTGGCACTTTGTGTCACCAGTTGTTTATCGCTTGTGTGATGTCCTGCTAGTGTACAACTACCCACCTACCAACAGACAACAAGCTCTTAATACAACAGCAAGTCAATAATTACATCTAAACAGATTCGCTATCTAATTCAGTGACATACAATTCACACTAGGCATTTTAAATTGTTTCTTGTGCCCGCTGAAGGTTAACAGTCAAAATCAAAGCAAATCATGTAGCTTGGATATGAAACATATTTTGGAAACACAAAGCACTCTGTCAACACATAAAAACAGTTTACGACACATAACGGATACACACACCAGAGTTTATCTACACTTTTTTCTCTCAAGACTGTATGTATGTATGTATGTATGTATGTATGTATGTATGTATGTATGTATGTATGTATGTATGTATGTATGTATGTATGTATGTATGTATGTATGTATGTATGTATGTATGTATGTATGGTATGTAGTATGTATGTATGTATGTATGGTATGTATGTATGTAATTGTATGTATGTATGTATGTATGTATGTATGTATGTATGTATGTATGTATGTATGTATGTATGTATGTATGTATGTATGTATGTATGTATGTATGTATGTATGTATGTATGTATGTATGTATGTATGTATGTATGTATGCTATGTATGTATGTATGTATGTATGTAATGTATGTATGTATGTATGTATGTTATGTATGTATGTATGTTATGTATGTATGTATGTATGTAATGTATGTATGTATGTATGTTGTATGTATGTATGTATGTATGTATGTATGTATGTATGTAGGGTATGTATGTATGTATGTATGTATGTATGTATGTATGTATGTATGTTATGTATGTATGTATGCTTTTGGGGCAGCTGCGACATATTCTCAAGAGAGAAGTCCCTACAGCTATCAAAACGATAGCACATATCAGAGAAAAGCACGACACCCAGTAGCAAAACGAGGAACTCTAATAACATGTTCATACTGCAATCACAAGCATGGTAGCTTAGATATGTGTGATAAAAACCCAAATTACATGAAGTATCTACGAGATTTTGTCCAAAAACAACAATCTAAGGTAACAAGGTATGCCACAAACCTACAATGCTTTAAATGTGGGGCATTTGGCCATATACGCAGGGACTGCCATGCAAGAAGTATAATAAGAGAGGCTAATATGGTCCTGAATTCATCAAGCAGTGAATCGGAAGAAGAACTTAATAGCCACTCAGTCCAAGAGATTGCTGAACTGAACTGGGGATCGAAAAACTGCAAGATATGCAAAGAATTCCATGAAGATGGGAATCTAACTTGCGGACCACAGTTGTGCCAATTCAAGAAGCACCTCGGCTAAACATGACCAGTGGATCCTTGCGCTACTTCAGGGGAATTTCGCTAACAGTAGACCTTGCACAGTAATCCGAGATACAGGTGCGACACTAATTGGTGTACACAGAGCATTAGTGCAAGAGAAAGACTATACAGGAGAGCACATGGTGTGCAGAAACTTTTGGAGTTAATAAGGAAAGATATAAAGGGAGCTCTTGTAAAATAAA